ATACCACCTCCCAACTTAGTGTCATCTGCAAACTTACTCAGTTTGTACACTCAATCCCCTCATCTAGGTCATCAGTAAAGATATTTAACAAGATGGGCCCCAGTACCGACCCCTGGGGGACACCACTTGTAACAGGTCGCCAGCTGGACTTCACTCCATTAACCACTACCCGTTGAGCATGACCCTCTAGCCTGTTCCTTACGCAAAGAAGGGTAACCTGTCCAGGCCATGGGCAGCCAGTTTCCCCAGGAGAATACTGTGAGAGACCATGTCAAAGGCTTTGCTGAAGTCTAGGTAGACTACATCTACAGTCTTTCCCTTGTCTTACCAGTCTGGTCACCCAGTCATAGAAGGAGATGAGGTTGGTCAGGCACGATCTGCCTTCCATGAATCCATGCTGGCTGGGCCTGATCCCCTGGATGCCACACATGTGCCATGTGATCTCACCCAAGATATTTGCTCTATAGCTTTACTTGGTACCGAGGTCAGGCTGACAGGCGTTCAGTTCTCCGGATCCTCCTTGCTGCACTTCTTGTAGATGGGAGTCACATCAGCAAGCCTCCAATCTCCCTCTTGCTTCCTATAAAGACTCCTTGCTTCTTCTTTCCCATTCTTTCTATTGCTCTCCTTCCCTTCCCCATTATCCTAACTCATAATAATGTCCATCCTCCCCTTCCCCATCTCCCTAATTAAGATTTGTAATAAATTGGTTGGACCAACATTTGAACAGTTGTTTCTTAATCTCACATCAGGTATACAGATATTAAAAGAAACTCCTGTCCCTCCTATAAATCAGACTGTGACACCTCTCCTTGAACTAAAATGCCCTAAACTTGTGAAATCTCTTTTCATAGTTCATAGGTTTGTCTGAGCAACTTCATCACTGCCCAGCTGAACTGTGAGTAATGGAAAATAATCAGCTAACACCTAACCAGCTTTGGGAGTTTTCTGGTTATGTCCCTGATCCAGGCCCCAGGAAGGCAGCACACTTCCCGACAGCTCGGGTCTGGTCTGCATATGGGGCCCTCTGTTCCTCTGAGAAGGGAGTCGTGCACCATGACCACCCTTCTTTCTTTCCTAACAGAGGCAGTCTTAAGGCATGGGAGTGACTGCCTCGCCTTAGGCTGAATGGGCTGTGCTCACTCACTGAGCCTCCCTTTTCTCAGTGGGCAGCAACAATGGTTACTCACCTGGGCCGTTTTGTGCTTTCTAAATAGCTCCCTGAAGCTAGTCAAAGCTTATTATCAAGTGCGAACATTAAGGGCAACTAAAGTGATGGAAAGTTCACAGGGTGTTTTAGACTGTGCTGCTAATGTGCCAGCTCCACCCTTGCCGACTCAGGAGTCCACCCACAAGCTGCCAGCTCCCCAGCATAAGCACATATTTATTTACTTAAAAAAAAGTGATCAAATGGGTGGCAACCCTACCCATGGCAGGGAGACTGGAACTAGATGATCTTTAAAGTCTCTTCCAACCCATGCCATTCTTTGATTCCGTAATCTCCATTTCCCCTTAGTACTTGCTGAGTACAAAATCTGCAGTCTGAGGGCTATAATCATTCTTGCCGGGCTCTCAAGAGATCTCAAATTATTAAAAATCTTGTTCACAGATGCAGTAATATGGTTGTTCTCCTGTCCTTGTACTGACTTCTGGTGGTGAAGTTCCACAGGAAACAAGAATAAGAAACGCTCAAGCAGAATCAGCACTATGCAGTAATAACCGCTTGTTCTTCTCAGAAGAAATTTAGATGTGGTAAAAGAAGAATATACCTAGACTAGTGCCCAAGTCAGTTATGATTGGGCCAGTAGCCACAGTGGATGTTAAACAAACAAGCAAACAAAAGATTTCCCCCTCTCTCTCTCTCCCTTTCTCATGTTTCCTACAAATTAAGCCCACTTTTTTGTTTGTGTGCATAGCATATCCACACAATACTCCAGAGTATATACTGTGTATTCCAGAGTGCACCCTATACATGTGTTTCAGGGTGTGTTTGCATCCGGGAGACAGGATGTCTCAGGAGCAGAGGCAAGCAAACTATGAGGAGCACAGAGGATTATGGGTTTTATTCAACATACACGCACACAGGCATCCATTTTGGATAATCCCTGTAAGCGGGACACAGAAATTCCCTAAGCCACTGAATTATTACTTACCGACCCCTGAGAGATGGCAGTCTGCCGAGACAAAAGGAACATGCTGGTGGTGGATCCAAGGTAGTTCCAGTAGGGCGTCCCCTGCTTCAAGGTACTCTTTTCCTCTTCCTCAGCAGCCTTTCTCCTCCTTTTATTCTCTCCAAGGTCTGCGGGTTTTTTTTTCCACTTGCAGACTGTTCCTGTGCGGCCAGCGTAAATACAGAGCCCAAATGGAACACCTGCTTGCGAACAAGTCTTTGCAAAAACAAGATAAACTGCCAAGGTCATCTCTCTCTACAAGATATTGGTGGCTACAGCCACAACACAAATACTTTGTTCCATCCCAGGATCATTTTTCAGGGGCCTTTAGGTTGCTGACTCATACTCCCCCATGATCTTGGGTTGGAACACACTGGTCCCTTAAAACTGTTAGAATACTTTGTTCCATCCCAGGATCATTCTTCAGTCAGGGGCCTTTAGGTCCCAAACACATCAGTCAGTTTTGTTTTCCTCTTAGCTGTAATTCTTTGTTGTTTATGAAATGAAAGCTTGTTTAATAAATCAGTCCACTAGTACTTTAGACAAAGATTCCTAGAAACAAAAGTGAAATTTTCAAAGATTATTTTTAGACAGTTATATGTGATTGTAAATAATTCCGTGTCTGGAAGATGAATCCAAAAACTGCTAGAAACAAAAGGGAAAAATAACTTAGGAATAATATTTTTTTTATGCTGTTATATGTAGTCATATATAATTCCATGTCTAGGTTATGAATAATCTCTAGAGGGTTGTTTGGAATAGACTGATTAAATATTTGAGCCTAAGGCTTTGATTTTGATCGCTTTAAAGAAAAAGTGTTATTTCTTAGGAGTTTGAGTAGTTTGAAAATGGTGCAAAGGGCTTCTAAGTAACTTGAAATTTATTTATGCTACTTGGCCTTCTTTCTCCTTTTTAACTGAAACAAATATAATATTTTTTGAAGCTCACACTGTGCTGATAAATACCACAGAAAAAGAAACACACGTAGCACATGTACAGGCAGATAAGAAGATGGGAATGTTTAACAAGTGATGTGGACACAACTGTACTAGTGGTACCATCAGGGCAGCAGTTACGTGTGCATGGGATCAGGCAGGGTCTGTTCAGAGAGCACGGGAAGCAAAGGGCGTACTCTCTGCCTTCTTTAGCATGCTAGTATCCATATATTCTACATGAAGCCTCAAAGTGAGAATCAAGTGAGTGAATTTCTCACTCATACGGTCAAAATTAGAAATTAGGCAAAACCAAGAGCTTCCATCCACCATACAGCTTGAACCAAGCACACGCTTATAATATCATGCCATGGATCAGTTCTTAGGCAAATGTTTGGAGTTCTTTTTTCTGCTGGACTCATTTTGTCCACCTCATGTCTTTTCCAGTTGGTTCTATTTTCACATCCCCAACAAGAGAAATTGCAGTCTACTAATGTTTCTTTGTATACCAGTTAAGCATTTTTACTGCTACACACAACATCAATTCGGCATTCAGTGTTCACCATGGAAGTGTGAAGGCTGTGAAACTGATGGAAGAAAGCAGTGCTGCATTTAAGGTTTTTTTTTTTCTTTTTTTTTTTTTTTTTTTTTTTCTTTAGAAAAGCAATTTTTATCATTTTAAAGAGACATTCCTTAGAACAGATATTTTTGCTTAATGGTAGCATGTGATGTTGGAAAGAGACTTTCCAATTGCAGTATTTACAAAGCTTTTCTTTGTAATCTTAATTACAGGTTGAGTGTGTTTTTAGTTCCTAAGGTGGGTAATGAATATAATGTAATCAGAGTGCTCTTTGCTGTGGTTGCTTGCCATTAATGAAAAAATGTTACCTTTCCATTAATTATGAATAGCAATAGTAACATGCAAGTCCAATAAAATATGTCATTTAGAAAAACCTTTCAGATAAGTGTAGAGCTGGTTTTTTGTTATTACTTTAATACAGACTGTCTCTAATATGGCAGTAAGAAAATAATCCACTTTTGTAAATCAAAATGTAACATTTGAGTGTGTCATACTGCTCGATGAAAGCAGTAGGTAATGATTCTTATGCTGATTAACACACATTGTGGTGCTGGTTATTTTCAGCTCTAAGGAGATACCCATAAGAACACAGGTATTTTAGCATAAATCAGAGAAAAACATAATTATTTTGCTTTATGCTGAGAGCGAAATTAATCTCCTCACAGCACGTATGTTATGCTCAGTGATAACTCTAAGGTGCTCAGCCCTAATCCCACAGCCACTAACAGCAGTGCCTTTCATTCCCTGGCTTGCACCAGTTCGCCCCTGTCTCATGCAGATACTTTAAAGAGAGCCTAATCCTTCATATCCATACAACATGCCCAATTCATAGTCAGATATTAATGAAACGCATAATTGAATGATGTATCTTGAAGGGAAAAAAAGGTAACAAATTTAGATGAAATTTATTGCTAAGCTAATTTTTCAGAAAGAAATAAAAACACAGTCTTGTCTTTGTGTGGTCTAACATGTGTACTAAAGCCTTTAAGTATAGTTATATTTCAAGCAGCTCCCTGTTCTACCTAGCATTTTCTCCTCTAATGCTGTTTCCAATCAGGCAACACAAACTCTTTGGCAAAAAATTTTAGAAAGGTGGGGTAGGACATATCTACAAAGGTAAATAAGGCCATACTTCATCAGAGTAAGTCATTTCTTATTGATTTCATATCTTATAGACAGGATTTCAGTAATGTTGTTTACAGAAAACTGACTGTGATGGCAGGTGATAAAATCAAAAAATAATTTTTAACTACAAGAAAAATTATTACTATTTTGTTTTTCTGAAATAATTTCTTTGAAGTTGTTCTTCTCTATAATTTTCAGCATCGCTCTGCAGTCTGCATTTAATCAGCAAATAAAGGCAACAGGAAAATGGGCTTAGGGTTCATCCTGGAAAACATGAGAAGAATTAAAAGATCTTTAGAAAATTAATGCTTTTCATTTTGACAACTCCAATTTTCAACTGTGCCTTCAGGGTGTTCTTTTTCCCCCTCATTTCTTTAGGATTTGAAGAAAAAAAAAAAAAAAAAAAAAATGCATGTAGGATGGATTAGTTTGGTTCCAAGCCTGTATGTGCCAGTAATTGCAGCACTGAGCAATTAACTTCTCCAGTTAAAAATTACACTCAGATTTGAGGAGTAATAATTGATGTGAAAGATTTTCCAAAATTCCAGTGGTCTGAGCTCATCTTCCAGAATGCATCTGAATAAAAGCCTGAGAGTCGAGACAGGAGTAGCCAGAAAATTCTGTAAAATAGGCTTCCTAAAACATAGTGTTGAAAGGCTAGAACATGTGATCACATAGGAGATTTCATTCTTGATTTATGCTTGATATACTCATGTATAAAGATTTTATTCTTCCATATATAACTCTCGAAGGCTGTATTGTTCTGAGTGTGTGTCACCTGCTTCTTGCTCCTTCTTGATAAGCTGTGTTCCTGGATTTCTTTCTTTTCCTGTTTCCAGCAGGTGATGCTTCATCAACAGAATGAGAAGTAATACCTTCTGCAAGCAATAATGTCAAGGTATACGCAAGTTACATGGGAGGACTCACAAGGAAGAAGAAGCTTTTCAGGCCCCTACATCAGCATCACAGTCAGCTTTGGTAATGTAGCTGACCCTTCATTACTCCATTGTGTTTGATCAAATGAACAGAAACTGTGTGTGCTGTGATGTCACTCCAAATATTTTATTCCTACTTTTCATTTACACTATCTGAATGTCTGCATGAGAAATAGAAGAATCAGGTCTTTGAATCAATGCTATGCCATATTAAAAACTTGATCCAAAAGGGTTTTCTAACCTAATACTTTAAAAATACTTTAAAAACCTAACACTTTAGAATACTTTAAAAACTTAGGTTTTTTTGTTTTGTAGTTTGCTTGTTCGGTTTTTCTCTTGAAAGGGAGCAACAGCAATTAGGTGATAACTTCATTTACTTTTCAGTGTGTTTTCTAATTCCATTGTGTTTATTCAAATAATGATTACTTCAGCCAGATTGGAAATTTTTGTCCAGGAAAGAAAGTGTATTGCAGGTCATGAGAAGAGAGTATAAATGCAGGCAGGTCTGGAAAACTATCCATTGCCTTTCCTTTCTTTTCCTTTCTTCCTTTTCCTTCCCTTCCTTTTCCTTCGCTCCTTCCCTTCCTTCCTTTCTTCCTTCCTGTTTGCCTTCTTTCCTTCCATCCCCTTCCTGCCTTCCCGCCTGCTTGCCTTTCTGACTTACTTCCTCCCTTCTTCTTATAATTCTAATTCACATCATCTCTACATCTTTAACTGTGAATATATATCTTCTTGTCAGTCAGCATGTTACCAGTTACTAGACAAAAAATGTTGATGTTGCAAAACTGTGAGCAGTAGAATAGCTGCTGTAGAACATGACATGCTTGAAGACAGGTTTTAAATTCTCACAGCTTACTGAGCTTTGAGAGATGTGGATTGCCTCCAGAATATTTATTTACATTGCTGCCTTGCTGCAAACTACACAAAACAAGTAAATTTGGGCCTCCCCTTCCTCATGCCTGCCAGGATACCAAAAGGTTTGCTGCAGATATTTTTGATGTATGGATAGCATTATCTCATACAAACAGCTATCTGGATTTTAGGCCATAATGCCTTCTGATAGTGGACTGCATGGATTCAGATGCTTAGGGTATGCATTTCTGTTTATTTTCCTTTGGTTCACTATCAGTATTCATCTACATTGATCTTTTTTTATCTTTTACAGTTTTCTCTATGAAATTCAACTCTTTCAGCTTTCAGCTATAGATAAGAGTGTTGTTCAACATGAGAATTTTTTGTAACATCCTGGATAAGATTCATCAAGTGCTCCCAGCAACAGTCAGTCAGGCTTCCTGCTCGGGAGACAGATCCATATAATCTTCGGATGTATTTCTCTAGGATTTTCTAATTGCAGAAACAGTGGGGAAATCAGTGGTAGAAGCATGTAGATGAGTGATTCGCTTGGCTGTTGTGCAAGTAACTCTCTGAAATCAGCAATTGCCTTGTCCCTTTCCTCCTGAAGATCATTTAAGAGAATAAGAGTATCTGGACATCATCTAAAAACTTTCTATTTGTTGGACTTCTTTCCAATCATGAAACAGAAAAGGTAATACTCATACCAGGCTTGAATTTTTACTAACAAAAAGGCAATCAGCCCTGAAAATTGTGTTTCATTTTTGCTAGAACCTTATTAAAAAATGAAAATAACTCTAAGAGGTATATACAAGGCTGGCATCTGCATGCATTTTCTCAGGGGATATATAAGGAAGGTTTGAAACCGTTGACACAAAGCCTATTCCACTGCTATTATGTGAATTACAGTGGGCAATTACATTCTTGAAAGATTGCAGCCTTCAACATAAAATAAATGAAAAGTGCACCTGAGGTTCCATGGATATCTTGGCATTTTCTGTGCTGTATTTTGCTGGTTTATGACGTTTTGCACAGAGTAGGCAGGTGCTCATCAGTAGATTAGCATTTTTTACTTGTTATTCATTCTTTAATTTTAGCATGTGATTTGCAACAAATCTAAGTTCTGAAATTTAGTTTGGATTTGCCCACCCTATCAATTTTTCTCTTCATCTCTGACTTAATCTCACAAGTCATTGTTGAAAAAAATATTGCCCTAATGAGCTTCTTTACTCGGTATATCCAAGAGAGTACCTCTGAAAAGGTGAACTCATTTCATGGTGATAGTAATGTCGTGTTATTTACTCTGTAGAATACAAGGGAGTTATCTCCAAATATCAACTTGTAAAAGTCAGAGCTGCAGCTAGAGGAAGGACTTGCACAGCTTAAAAAAAATGTTTTTCTAACTTCTGTAAGGCCATAACAAAGGCTAGACAGTGGTTTCCAATAGCTGGATGCCCATAAAACAGTTTGGATTTCTGGATATTGACAGAATAGAAGAAGGGCTATTTATGTCCTGTAAGGTAGGCTAAGAAAAGAAAGAACATCTCAGTACTAATTTTAATATTCTAGCTATAGTTTTCTTCACTTGAGAGCAGGCTCCATGAAATTTAATATAATCATTATATTTATTTTAAGTGGAGACTGGCAAGGAAAGGAAAAACCTGAAAACCTAATTTTCCTAGTATCTTTTTTTTTTTAGTAGTTGCCATTCTATAGTGGACAGCATGTTCTGAATCGCATATTAGACTGAAAACACAGGATATCACTTGGAGGACTGAAAAGCTAGAATTTGAAATCTGTAATATCGTACTCTAGAAGTTTTGTGGAAAGAGATACCCAGGGAAAGTACTGTCCTAGCTGCAGCAGGGATATGAGTGGGGATGAATAGAGCCCTGGCCTCTGGGAGACCAGGTATATTCCTTCCCATGCACATCACAGGAATGTAGTATACCTGCAAAGCTCATTTGTTGCTACACTCATCTCCTGTTGTTTTTCTACAGATGTAAGGTTGGCCAAATACAACATAATGAACCAATGAAACAAGCAGCTGCCGCCCATTACCTATGAACTATTTCTTAGAAAAAAAGTGTTTCTAGTTCTTTCTCATCTAGGAAGTGCTTCTGTTCCTTCATGTCTGTATGTTATCGCTAGTTATATCCACTCATTCATCAAAAACTCTTACCTCTTCATATAACTTTACATCACCCATGAACCAAATTACATGCCTAGAACTGTTGAGAGTTCTGTGAAATTTTATCATAGAATTACTCAGGTTGAAAAAGACCCTTAAAATCATCAAGTCCAACTGCAACCTAACCATATTACCTTAACTCTAATAGCCCACTGATTAAGTCATGTCCCTAGCACCACATCCAAATGGATTTTAAACACATTCAGTCATGGTGACTCAACACTTCCGTAAGGAGCTTATTCCAGTTCTTAACAACCCTTTCTGTAAGGAAGTTTTTTCCTGATATTCAACCTAAATCTCCCCTGGCACAATTGAGTCCATTTCCCCTTGTCCTGACACCTGTCACCAGTGAGAAGAGACCAGCCCCGCTTTCGCTGCAATCACCCTTCTAGTATTGGAAGAGAGCAATAAGGTCTCCCCTCAGCCTCCTCTTCCCCATACTAAACAGACCCAGTTCCTTCAGTTGCTCCCCTCATAGGTCATATTCTCCAAGCCCTTCACAAGCCTAGTCGCCCTTCTTTGAACCTGCCCCAGCAACTCAATATTCTTTCAGTATTGAGGTGCCCAAAACTGAACATACGCAAAGTGGGGCCTCATCAGTGCCACGTACAGGGCGAGGATGACTTCCCTAGTCCTGCTCACCATACTATTTCCGATACAAGCCAGGATGCTGTGGGCCTTCTTGGCCACCTGGGTACACTGTTGGCTCATATTCAGCAGACTGCCCATCAGGTCCCCACCAAGGTCCTTTTTTGTCAGGCAGCTTTCCAGCCACTTCTCCCCTAGCCTGCAAGGTTGTCTGGGATTGCTGTGACTAAAATGCAGGATCTGACACTTGGCCCCATTGAAACTCATACACTTTGCCTTGGAAAATTGATCCAGTCTATCCAGGTCCCTCTATAGTTCCTTTCTACCGGTGGGCAGATCCCTTCCAATTTAAAATATAATTCATAATAACAGATATTGAGTACTGTGTAGGATGTCACCCTAATTTTAGTTAAATTCTTATTGTTTTATCTTATGATTTCAGAAGCAAAATAAAAAAGAAAAAAACTGGAAACACAGCGATTGCTCTGAACCTAAAATATTGTTCATATTTGTATCACATCCATCCTTTAAGAAGTACTATCACTGTAGTAGACTTTTCAGATTTCCTCTAACTATTGTCTTTTATACAATGTTTCATGTATTACAGGTAAACAAAGTGTACTTCTAAATGTGGATATGATGAGTACTTTTATGAAGCCCTTATTTCTCCTATCAGCAACTGAAGTCTAATGGATACCCTAGGACTTACTGAAACTCTAATCTAGTAGTATAAACTACACAGACAGTCTCTTCACCTTCCACATCATTAACATTATGGCATACAATGAGTCCAGCCATTTGCTTAAAAAATCATTTGGGAGGAAAGATCTCTGAGTAGTTTCTGAAAAGCCTGCATTCTAAACATAAAGACTTACACTGTTGAACAGCTTCAGCCTGTGTTTGCAACATATAGAAATCTTAATAAACATGTGCATTTTAAATGAATTGTAAAGCGATTTTAAAATCAATGTTAAACGTATGTCTGAGTTTTCTCATCCAGCCCTGAACATGTCCAAATCATTTGGTTTGAAAATGTACGTTCTCTATTCAGCTTCAGTAATTATTTTAGCAATTGCAGCCTGCTATGTGGCCAGATTCAGCTTTCAAAATTAGGGCAATTGCTTGGGGCTATGAATCATCCCTGGGGATTTGTGTAAATCTGTCCAGCTGCTCTCATTTCACATGCGTGTTAGAGAGCAACTGCTAAGAAAAAGTTTCTTGCAGCAGTGTCTTGCTTACCTAATACATAAGGATGCAAAGAAAAAGTTTGCTGAAATGTGTGCAACTCCAGTACACCTGAACACTGTACTCCTAACATGCTACAGCAGCCTGCTCTCTCTTTTAGTTTTAAGCTTCTTATTGCTTTAAAACTCATCTAGCTTTCCATCATAAAACCAAACAAAACCAAACAACAAGAAAAAAAACCACACTAGCATCTGTTCTGTTTTTCTTTTTCCAACTAATGAAATCTGAGCTTTACCTCAGATGGACATGAAAATACTTACTTTGTGACTCCAGAAATGATGTCATGTGGTAATATCTAGAAACAAAGGATAAATATTTAGTTAATATCCAGTGCAGCCCCCATTTACCATGTTAACATGGGGATGTAGGTTACCTAAGAATATCTCCCTGAAGTCAATGGTGTTCTGTCATAAGGAATTTGTAGTAGATGAAGTCTGCTACGACATCTTTGTGTACATTCTCATTTCCCAATAGGCAACAGGATTAATAGGTACAACTGAGAGGAAACGAGTATCTGGTTGTCCTGTACATGCTATGTGATGACACTTAAGATGACTCCATGACTTTCCCTGGCACTGAGATCAGACTGATAGGTTCATTGTTTCCTGAACGCTCTTTTCTGCCTTTTAAGTAGGTAAGCATTTGCACATTCGCCAATCTCTAATCAACTGGGAACCCCCTAGTTAGACAGGACTACTGGTAAATTATTGAAAGTGACTTGGCAAGCACTTCCACCAGTTTCTTCAGCATGCTTGGTTGAATCCTGTCCAGCCCTATAGATCTGTGGATGTTCAAGTGTTGTAGTAGATCTCTAGAGATTTCTATCTTTTTAACCCTCCTGAGTTACCTTAACCTTTTTCCAAGGCTTATAAATTCTCCTTTTCTTCCTGGGTTCCTGGAGAATCTCTATTCAGCCAGGCTGTTCTTGCCCTCCACTGACTTGCCTTTTGGCACATAGCCTGATCCTATGCCTCAAGATTTCATTCTTGAATACTGTCCAGCCATCTTGTGCTCCTTTGCCTTTTAGAACTGCCACCCAAGTGGCACTGTCAAGCATGACTCTAAATATGAGAAAATCAGCCCTACAAAAATATTAAAAATGTCCATTCTTCTGATCATCCTACTTGCTTCCCCAGTGATTGAGAACTCTTATCTTCCCTGCAACCACTGTGTCTGAGATGGCCTCCAGCTAGTACACAGAATCACATACTCACAGAATGGCTTGCATTGGAAGGGAGCAAGGATCATCAAGCTCCAAGCCCCCTGCCACAGGCAGGGCCACCAACCTCCAGAAATGCTACAAGACAAGTTGCCCAGGGCTCCATCCAACCTTTTTTTTTTCTTTTTTTCCAGTAGTGAAAATATAATTTATAATTTAATGAGGCAAATTACCAAACAAGCAATTTAATTAAATTAAATTGCATTCTACAATACAAAAGAAAGTTCTCCCGCATTTCAAGTTTGCAGTCATACATGCACATGGCTGAGCTGTGGCCTTCTGGGGACTGTGCCTGAGGCGTGGAGCTGCCTGGGGTTCTCCAAGAAGTGCAATCACAAGCATCCATGCCCTAGCTCACAGCTCTGCTGGCACCAAGTGCGCGGAGGGTCACTGCTCCTCAACATGGCTTTCATATCCTTTTCTCAACACAGGCAAAGAACAAGGTTGGATCCTGGCAGCAAGGTGAGTGCAAAGAGCAGGACAGGTGCTGCTCACCACTGCTCCCACCTCATCGTGAGGAAAATAAATAGATAAATAGATAGATAGATAGATAGATAGATAGATAGATAGATAGATAGATAGATAAAAGCATCAGCCAGAAGACCTTCTCTGTTAAAAACAACAGGTCAGCTGGGCCACCTTCCCTAATGAGTTTGCTTTCCACCTGCTTCAGGAGGTTATTCACACATTCTGTGAATCCACTAGTTTGTTCTTCTGCTATATTGTGTTTCCAACAGACCTTTCTTTCTGTCTGTCTTTTAGGTATTTGATGCAAATAGAATGGTATCTGACTACTTAGACATTTCTTTTTATACCAAAATTCTGGAACATAGTTAATAATACTGAATATGGGCCTTGATATTAATCTTACCATAATTCCCACTTGTGAAGGTGGATCTTTCTCGCACATTTTTTTTTTTTTCATACTTAACAAACCTTTCACACAGGTTTGTTTATTCAAACAGAATAAGCACGTTTCAGCAAGAAACAAGTTCAAATGCAATCAACAAGTACAAGAAAGAAACTATTCTCATTGCTAGCATGAGTTTATTCATGCCTTCCTTTGAAATACATACATATTTTCTTTTCTCTGTGAGAGAGGTGGTAATGTCTGTATTTTATGTTCCAGGTGTGAGTCATGCTTCATTATGAACATTATTATACCTTTTCATTACTTTGACTAGGAGGGTGCTAGTTTTTTTTCACCCCAATCATGCCAACCACCATGACTTTTTTACAGTTGTCACTGTTCCTTAATGAATGGGAACTGTTGATCACAGCCTGAACCTCTGCTTGATCACCTGGGGCAGCCACAGGAGTACAGGTGAAAGCAATTCACCTGTGCTACCAGGAAGGGGTGGAGCCTGGCTGCACCTCTCTTAGACCCCATTTAAGGATTGACTGCCACTAAGGATTTCTGGAGATTGCTCCTTGTGGAAGTTACTGTAAGCTTAGACTATCAGTGAGAGTTTTCATTTATTTTGATTATCTTTTCACTGTAATAATGTTACTAAGCCTAACTTCTGTTTACTTATTGACTGTACACTTAATAGCCTTATTTTGATATTTTATTTATATCATACAAGTGTGCCTGGCAACTATACCACTCCTGTTCACGTTCTTTATCAGGGCCAAGCACAGGTGTATGTGAGCAGAGATCCACTGATTACAGATTAATCTCCGCAGGTTATATCTTTGGCAGTATTTCATTCAAACTTATTTTCCTAATTTCTATTTCAGCAATTATTTCTAAGTGTAAAAATGATAACAGCAACAATAAAATTTGAATCAGAACAGTGCAGTAGCCTGAAGAACAGGTGGAAGGGGGCTATTTTCTGTTAGAGTAAGCTTATGTCACCAGAGCTCCAATATTATTTTATCACAAGTAAATTAAACTGTCCTGAGAAATTTCTGCACACCGACCATTGGCAGTGAACTTGTTTATTGTGATAAACTTTTGGACTGATAATGACATATTGAAATTCTCCAAAATAACTGCTGAGTTCTGTTCAAGAACTTCCACTGAGCAAGGACACAGTTTTGGATGGTGACATCCTGTTTGGGAGTGGAAGGCAGTTTCTATTATGAACCAGTTTTGCTTTAATATGAGTAATAGCTGATAGTTTAATATATGAGAATGTTGTATAATTGTGCTTAGATTTAATGCTTTGTTTTAGGAATACTTGAATCTAATTGTGAGTTTGATGTCAGTGGTATTAGCTGGAAGCAAAACGGTGCCGGTGAAAAACAAATAGCAGTACAACATAGGCAGACTCTTGCAATTCTGGATGTATCTGGCAACCTTTGAGATACAGAATAAGTTGCAGTGGGAGACACTGAGTGTTAGAATGAACAGTGCTACAGACTTCACTCTGCTTTCATGATCATCATGTGAATGTAGCTGCAGGAATTCATGTAATTAAAAAATAAATTAATAAGTAAACCAAGAGCCTGAAATCACCATATCTGTACATGTTTAATGTTATACATCCATCCACCTAGAGCCACATTATTTTTTTTTTAATGAAACAACCTATCAGTTTCTAGAAAACACAAAAGCCTTTTCAAATCAGCATGATTTAGTTAATTAGTCCTTCAGCACATCCAGCAGAGTAAATAAATTAACTAGCATTTAGCCACATTGAAACCTACAATATGTCTGTGTTTCTTTGATCACTGAAATTACAAGAGGAGTTAATGATATTGCTGCTACCATTTGACTGTTTTAAAACACCCACGTGCAGAGGCCAAGGTCATTACAGCTATTCACTAGATGCACAGATTTAACTAAACTCATTATGACTAGCTGGAGGAATACTGTCTTCTTGTTGGGTGCGGGGGATGAGTGAAGTGAGCAGTCACACAGGTGAACGCGCTGCTTCTACGAACTGTTTTTGTTTGCTCTGTAGAGCAGATCCATATATAGCCTTGCACGTGGTCATATGTGAGCACACTCCTTTAATCTAGGCTTGGACAACATTTCTGTCCCAGAGCACCATAATAACCAGTGCACTCCTGTAGCAGAACAATGTCAAAAAGTCTCTGCTCTTCCACAGACTCAGGAGCAGCAGCCTGTAACATGTAAGTAGATGTGGTACTGTGACATATTTTGTGAAGAATTTATGCAGAGTCTTCTTTCAGAGATTGAAGGCTGCTGAACTGTATTTATGTAGAAAATATAATCCCTTATCTATCTTTTTATTTTGTTCCTGGGTGAAGTTAATTGACTGTAATTTGAATTTTATCTTGTGTGTCTCTCTTTTCTTGAACTTTCTGTATCATTCATCTCAGGCTTCAGCTATTACACCACAGGTTTTTAACCCTCAGAAACGCTGCAGATTGTCAGCATTGGTCCTGATTCAACGTGGAATAAATCTGAAAGGACCTTTTTATCAAGATTTCATTGGGAACAATGGCAGGCCTTTGGGAGACTAGTGCCCTCAAACTGGGAAGTGTTAGCCACCATAAGGCAGCTCAAAGAGCGTACAGATTGTGAAATGTGAAATCTCAGAATTTAGAACTTCATAAAATTAAACAGTGTACGGGTTGTTACAGATTTTACATCTATTCATATGTTGTCAATATGATTCTGGATATCTATATAAAAACTCAAAAATTAAAAGACTTGAGTCTACATAGGCTCAGGAAGTCTCCTAGTGCTGTCTTGATGTAGCTTTTCATCCTTAAATAAGTATGCTTAATAACAATAAATATTATTTCGAGAAGACTTATTTACGAAAACATTATGGATGTATACAGATAATTTTAAAATTAAGCCAATTATTTAAATTTGAAAAAGCATCATTGTGAGGCACTAGTTTAACTGGTCTTAAACTTTAAATTAAGTTACTAGATACCCTTATTAGCTTTGTATCTTGTACTGATCTGGCTCATGAACCTTAGCAGGAAACAATCATTGTAGCTAATATATAAAATTTCAATCTTATTGAAATTAAAAATAAATGAAAGTTCTGGAGAGGCAAATATTTTCAGGATTTCTATTCTGCAACAGTCACAAAAGAAAATACAATTTGGTGTTTTTTTCCCCCTAATCGATTTAAAAATGACCTTACTTT